CTCTGGTGGCCGCTGCCCCTCTCAGCCCTATCGCACCCCGTGGCCCGTGTCCCGATGTAAGTCTCCTGCCAAGTGCCCAGCCTCATCACCACACATGATCAAATCATATCACCATCCTGCTGTGCCTTATACTAACACATCTCGCACAGGCCAAGGTCGACGCCATCCTGAAGGGCGAAATGGACCCCTCCGAGTGCTGCTCCTACGGCAAATGCAAGGGCGGTGTCGTCGTTTCCGTCGGCTAGGAATTCACACACCTATGTTCATCAAATCAATGAATCCATCCTAGGTTTCATATGATTTGATCCCGTATCACCAACACCAAAATGGCAGTGTCGAGCCCGGCCTGCAACAACTACACGTCTATGATCGGCGTTCACCTACGCATGTTTACATGCCTGATGTGATTTATACCCTGTTATGAGAAACGAACAAATATGACTTCTTCACTTCTTGTCCTCCTCTTTTAAGCACATCTTATGCACCTTCAATTCTTCATCACTTCTTTCTTCATCTCGACTTCTTCGTTTCTTCTTCCTCTCTTCCTCTCTTCACCTCTCAACATTTGATTCGCTTCATACCTCACACCTTTCCTCCCCAAACCCCAAAGGGGATATTGTTACCAGCCAGGGTCGGCTGGCATTTCACATTCGGGCAATTTTTCTTCTTCTTTCACGATCCAGGGTGGCGTTTACTGTGGTGCCATTGGCGTATGGAGGTTACCGCCCTGGTTACAGCTGTCGGATTGTACCGCCCCTTGTGTCTTCTTCTTCCCTCGTGTTGACCATGCATGCCCAAATTCATGTCAAGGAATTAGACCCATTTCTAGCTCAGTCAAACAAAGATTTGAAAAGATTTTTGGTTTTACCAACCACCAGACTTTTTTACCTCTTCCGCTCTCGTACTATGGACCGTGATTTCCGGTGTGATGTTTCGCCTGCGGAGTGAAGTCCCGTTTTCCCAGACAGCAAACGTAGCAGATATGAAACGCGGCAATAAGTTCACCAAAACCGGGGGTCAAGCGCCCCCCGTCTTGTTGTCAAAATGCGCCAATACGGCACGACTTGACTTATCAGCCTCAATATTTAGGTGGGACGTTGGCAACAGTCGGCTGTAGCGCATCTGCCGGCTGCGAGGCGCGTCGCAAGGCCCCATCGCGACCGGAGAAGCCTGAGTAGCGTCTGAAAAGTGGCACTGGCATCGGAGTATTTCATTTGGGCGCTTAGTATTCGCACGTCCCAAACCCACTGTAGTTGGTCAACTGATCCCGAGGGCATGGTCGCATGGATCCATTGCGAATTTAATCTCTGAATGATAAGACAATAGCTCGAGAGGGGGGGGAACGGCGTTTCTATATAGCCGCCCACACTGCCTAATTTGTATAGCGTCACCGATATTAGAAGCTAGTTGTTGATTTGTCCATCTGGCATAATCAGGTATGTGCCATGCTGGTTACACTAGATGTAATACGACGTTGATGTTGCTTCCGGATGGTAATATGATTCACTTGTAGGTATAAGCGGCTTCTCCAAGATAGCCAACAAGCCTAGAGAGAATGGCTCCAAATGTCTAAACACAGGACGGAATAGAAGTCCATGCATATAATTATCCAGTTAGATACAAATGAAACGTCAAGAATGCTTGATATGACGCATCTCCTAATCTATTGCCTACAAGGTACCAGACAGAAAATGATCTGCATGCCATGCGGGGTGCAAAACCCTGCTCTGCGCAGCGTGTGAGCCGGCACATATACACATACATACATATATGTGTCTGTATGTAGGTAGATATGTATGCCTAATCTGTTGATATGCGGGGGTTTACATTGGCGACCCTGGAAAAATACATGATATGTATATACTCACCCATCTCCGGAAGTCTTGCTAGTGTGTTGCGTGGCCGGTTGCTGGATGCGTGATATTCCTTGCACGCCGATTGTGGCAGGCCCAAGCGCCTTGCACAGCCCATTCTTCATGCTGCTGCTGCGGCGTGAAGGATCATTGTCGATTCACAGCCCGTGCCGAGTACGTACATGTACCAATGGGGAGAGACGGGAGAACGAAGACGATAAAAAGATTCTTTCGAGTCACGAGGTCCCTGTTTACCGGCAACACACTCCACCTCCGGCTGATATGCAGGGTACCGTGAAAGGAGGAATAACTCCCAATGGGGAATGTCTCTCGAACAAACATCCGGTCGTCCCAGAAGAGTAGGGCCGGATGTGGAAGGGGAGCTGCCAATTGATCCTCAACTAAGGGCCGTTTCTTAGACTTTTAAGTCCACCTATCTCTATCCAGAGATGTCAAACTCCCACTTTGGAAAGGCGTTGGAAGCCAATTGACACCCACCACCAAGCCACCAGCCGGCCAAATTGAAGGATGGCTCTCGACGCCTTCGGGGAGTTATTTTTCGACTCCCCGACTGAACCGGCCCGCGTGTGGCGAGGCATCGTCTTGACCACATGAAAGAAAATATAATCTCTGGGGAGGGGATGCCTGGCGTCCTGCGGTCCTCCCAGAGACCCGTTTTGATAGAGCCAATGGCCTCCTTGCGAGACGTGAACCTAACGCTAGGCCAACCGCATTGGAGGGCTGCTGGAGAAAGAGGTGGATTTCACGCCTCAGAATGTGCTCCCTCGCCTTGACCATGATTGGCGCGGTAGTTTACATCAAATCGCATCGTCGGTCTTAGCCTGCCCGAACCATGTTCCGACCCCACATTGTTTTCTCCCGCCCACCTAGCACTCAACCTGCAAGATCATAGGCGACGTGGGGGAGCTGATTTGACCGGGCGTGGCATGGAGTACATAGGGACAAGTAGGCCACAAAGGACGAATTATATATTGGGACAGCAGGTGCCCAACCAGCTGCCCCCTTTCCTTCTGACATCCTCGGCACGGAAGGAGAATAGAGATTTTTGACCTCCCGGCATCACCTTTTCAGCCTATTCATCTTTGTTCCTTATATAGACAGGCGATCTTCCTGCACGTACTGTCCGCCGAGCAAAGGAACAAAGTTGCACACGTTCTCTTCACCGTCTCTCATTATGAGTCCCGTGGCAGTCGAAACCCCCGCATCAGGGGATATCAAGTCGCAACACCTCAAGCCCAACATTGGTGTTTACACAAACCCTCAGCACGACCTATGGATCACAGCAGCTGAGCCCACCGCTGATAGCGTCAAGGCAGGTACCGACCTGAAGCCGGGAGAGGTCACTGTTGCCATCCGCAGTACCGGTATTTGCGGGTGAGTTCAAGGAAATGCATCCTGAGATTGATGTTGTCGTCTGACAAGAGTGTAGATCCGATGTGCACTTTTGGCACGCTGGTTGCATCGGCCCCATGATTGTGGAGGGCGACCACATTCTCGGCCACGAATCTGCGGGAGACGTCATCGCAGTGCACCCCTCTGTAACTAGCCTAAAAGTTGGCGACCGTGTTGCCATTGAGCCTAATATCATCTGCAATGAGTGTGAGCCATGCTTGACTGGCCGCTATAACGGCTGCGAGAAGGTCGAATTCTTGTCTACCCCTCCGGTGCCTGGACTGCTCCGTCGATATGTCAACCACCCAGCAACTTGGTGCTACAAGATTGGTGACATGTCCTATGAGGATGGTGCCATGCTGGAGCCTCTGAGCGTAGCCCTTGCCGGACTGGAGAGAGCCGGAGTCAAGCTCGGAGACCCCGTTTTGATTTGCGGCGCTGGACCCATTGGTTTGATTACTCTGCTCTGCTGCGCTGCTGCTGGAGCTGCTCCCATCGTCATCACGGACATTGCTGAGAGCCGGCTGGAGTTCGCCAAGTCGATCTGCCCTCGTGTAATTACCCACAAGGTCGAGAGGGAATCGGCAGAGGACTCTGCCAAGCGAATCGTTCAGTCATTCGGAGGCGTCGAGCCTGCCCTTGTGATGGAATGCACCGGTGTGGAGAGTAGTATCGCCACTGCTATCTGGACTGTCAAGTTTGGCGGCAAGGTCTTCATCATTGGTGTCGGCAAGAACGAGATCAACATCCCTTTCATGCGAGCAAGTGTGAGAGAGGTTGACATCCAGCTCCAGTACAGATACAGCAACACCTGGCCCAAGGCAATCCGTCTGGTGGAAAGCGGCGTCATTGATCTGAAAAAGCTGGTGACGCACCGCTTCCCGCTTGAGGATGCGCTCAAGGCATTCGAAACCTCAGCAGACCCCAAGAGCGGTGCCATCAAGGTCCAGATCCAGAGTCTAGATTAGAGGACAAGGGACAAATTCAAATTTAAATAAACAAGAGAGGGTAGGAGTTGGCGTGTGGCGGACAATAAGCAAACAAAGGTATACACGAAATAGGCATACAATCGGGCTAGCAGGATGGATAGATGATCTTGGGCATGACAATGGACATTCTGAATAATTCACATGGATGATGTTTAGATCTGCAACGGTGATGACAAACAGAAAGACGTAGATGCGTTGGCCTCAGGTGGCTGTCTCAGCAGCTCAGCGATGGAGAGGCAGGTACGGAGCACGAGATTGGCCCGAGTCGTCGTGGCATGCTCGATTGGTTGAGGGCCTCGGTTCCTGAATCAGCGGTCGCTATTCCGGACAGCTCCAGGTACCAAATTGCTGACGGGGAGGTGCGCACCCTGACTGTCTACCGGGACTGTTTTGACTGATTCCAGCTTCTTAAATTTATTGAACAGCACGGAAACTGGAACCGGAAGCATCTCCAAGTTATGGCCTATTGACACCTGCTGAGATCCCGAGCGGGTGTGCCTTGGTGTCTTTTGGTGGTGTCCCTTCCCTAGCACCGGCTCCCAAAGGGGCTTAGCGCCTAAACTCCCCCATTTTCTTCCGGGCGAGCTTTTTTTCTCCCTCAATTGAACGGACGACACGCCGGTAGACAGACCACCTAATTGCAGCCTCGTCCTTCATTCGTCTCTCTCGCGCCGTCGTCCTCGCCCTCCTCGACCTCCGACGACCTTCAATTCCCCTCCCCCGCCGCACAACTCATCCCATCACGATGGCCGCCCCCATGTCGCTCACGCGCCCGATGCTGCGCTCCCCAGTCTTGAGACAGCTCACTGCCCGCCGTCTCCAGAGCACCGCCGCCGAAAAGGCCGCCGCTGCCGCCAAGGACACCGCCAACAAGGCTGCCCAGGGTCTATCGCGTGTCACCAGCGCCGCTGGCCCTGCCATCGCCGGCGCCGCCAAGTCAATCGGCCGTCTGGGTGGCCCAGCCGGCCAGGCCATTGGCTTCCTCGAGCGTACGTCCCGGCCCAATGCCCACGCCCAGACAAGATCCGAGCAGTTCATGATGCTCCCGGGGGTGGAACGACGCATAACTGCACCCCGGCATCCCGTTTGAGAACCCAATTGTAGCTGATTCACCATGCCGTCATACAGGTCAGACTCCCCTCGTCGTCTACTACAGCAAGGTCGCCCTCGAGTTGGGCAAGTACGTCGCCCAGAACCAGAAGATGGCCATCCCGTAAGACTCACCCACCCGCACGCACACCGCGATCCTGGGACATTGTTCGCTGATCTCAATAACCCCCACCAGCTCCGCCGCTACCTTCCAGACCTTCTACCAGGGCCTCTGGCAATCCATTGCCAGCGGCAGCATCCTCCGATCCCCCCAGAGCCTCATCAACTCCGTACGAAATCTCAGCGTGGCCCAGCTTGCCACCGGCGGTGTCATCTTCGCCGAGACCCTCGGCTTCTTCACCGTTGGTGAGATCATTGGCCGCTTCAAGCTCGTTGGATACCACGGTGAGGTTGGCTCGCACCACTAAGGAATAGACTCGGGTAAGGAATTTTGGGGGGCTACGTTTTATGGATGACTAGAATCTACCTGGGTGGGGTTAGAAAGAACACGATATCGTTCTGCCGCCGAGTGTTAAGAGGTGGTTTGAAAAAATCATGGGGGGGCTCGGCTCGAGGTGCCGGGTCATGCCACCATGTGCCAGTATTTATTTCCCTTTGTAGATCTGTACAATCAATAATGCCGTAAGGTTGGCATTCTTATAGCTATGGGGTTCCCGTTAAAAGCGCAATTCGATGTCTGGCTAGGTGAGGCAATGGCTCCATCGACTGCTCCGTGAATGAGCAATGTTTTATTAGAGTGAATTATAAGAATTGCAGACCAGTCCCAGTATCTCAATGATCATGTGCCAACCAACAACAGCTACGGTTTCCCGCGGCTATGCTTCGTACCTGAGATATTTTTACCTCAGATAGTTGGTAGGACATGTGAACACCACCTGAAGGCCCAGTGCTCATAAATAATCCCTTTTCTCGGCGTTTCGTGTTCTCACCAAGCCATCCGTCTGCCCATCATCCATAGTCATTTCCAGTCAACCTGACAGCTTTTGAATATGCAACAAGTACCCAGAAACACCTGTCCAAACGATCCTGGAAGGTTATCCCAGAAGACGAAGGTAAAATAGTTGGTGATGAGTTGCATCTCAAAAGGGTTCCGGGGGGGGGTTAAGAGATGATGAGCCTCGTATGATAAATTTTCCTATGCCAGACGTGCCCGAGCCTTCATTCCCTTTGATTTTTCTTCTCGTCACATCCAACATCCGAAATTGAGTCCAGAAATAGGATTAAGACAGAACACGGTAGAAAGAAGCCCGTCACGGCAAACGATTTGAAGATGCGTGCGCGCTTGTGTTAGAGATGAAAACTGAAAACAAGGTACGGAATTCCTGGCGCTACTGAGAGTCCTAAGAGTCTCTCTTTGCCTTCCAGGTGTAGCTATAATGCAAGTCAACACATAACCTTCTCTTGTTGAAGGTATGACAGAAGAAAAACTTACAGCGTCATGTACACATGGTATTGGAGATGAGCCATCTCTCGATCTACTCGGTGACAGAGATTTCTAACCTCTTCTATTCTCATGTCTCCATAGTCGATCATTGGTATCAGGCTCATTCCTTCTATACCATTGATGAATGACATATTGAACCACCTCGCAATGTCATTCGCTCTTTCATCCCGACTCCACGGGCTGGCATACAACCGCGTGGTCTTCACCTCTATCTCAGTGAAGCCGGCATCCTCGAGCATTCGACGCCTGTGCGCAGGGTCTATCCTGCCGCTCCTCTTGCTTCTATCTAAGCCAGCGAGGAACCTGTCAGCCCACTCTTTGACGCTTGACGGCGAAGGTATATCTCCACTCTCATCCCATTGAGGATCCCAGTCAATCTCCGTTTGCTCAATGTAACCGCTGCCAGGCACCAGGTGGCTTGAAAACAGTTGAGTAAATATCGTGTCTAAATCAGTTTGGGGGAAACTTACTTGAATATATTTTTGTAGATAGTGGGCCACAGGTCGGTTTCGATGCATCCGAGCAATTGTCTAATGTGGATGAGGTCACAGTCTTGCCACAGCTTGTCCCAGCACGGTTCTTCGAGGTCAAACTGAATCGAAGAAAAACGTATGGGGATTCTTTACATATACTATTAGCATCAAAAATATTCCGGATACATAATTTGATACACTCACGTGGGCGGTTGAATTTGGTTGATGTCGACGCCTAAGACATGAGATTCGGTGAACTTTCTATAACTCGTTAGCTGTAAACTACGGGGAGCACTTAGAGCATATATGCTTACCGAAGAAAGAGAGTAGCCCATATACTGGTTCCAGTACCAAGATCCATTACCCTCATTTGGCGGTCAGTCCTGAGTTTAACAGTGGTGATCTCTCCATCGTTGGCAAGACTAAAGAATTTGTGCAGCATATCGGATCTATTAAGCTCTTCCTAGATATGAGAATCAGCAAAACCTTTCAAGAAAAAAACAGTCCTCCAGGATATGCCGTACCGCGTCGATTGGAAAGATATACTTCCACGGTTTCCAGTCGCCATAATAACGTCCATGCCTCCATTGACCGTCCATATGCTTAAAAAACGGGGGGGCATCGGTGTTTTCCCTGTCTGCTGGGCTGCTGGGTTCCCTATATGGTTGGGGTTCAGATTAGTCAAAATCATGTTGGCCATGTGGGCTCTGCCATACCTAGAGTTGGCTGATGAGGCCATGGTGATGGACTTCCAAATTTTGCAAATTTAATTTGATCGTGTCAAGTGTACGCGGGAGGACTTTGTGTCAAATAATTAGTATCTCCACACTCTGGTTTGCAAATGTCCAATGAGAGCGTTTGGATCAAGATCGAGCCTCTTGAAAATCCTGAAGGGGGAATTAGAAACTAGTGAAACATCAGGGAGTGAGTTGGAGGGGGAAACTGCAATGGAAAGGGAACGATGAGGCAACTATCATAGCAGAAATAGATGGGACTATAAGGCAGGAATGGAGACCAACACATCCTTTATGAGCATTGACAGGACTGAGACCCCTTCTCAAGATGCGAAGGAGGGTCAAAGACGCTAGGATGTGAACAGAAAGTGGCGAGCGCCGACACTCCGGTCAAGCTCCGCCTTCTTGCAGCAGGTTTGTATCAACATAAGCTATCAGCTCAAGTTCGCGCTATGGCAACATCGGGCAGGATGAGACCAGGTAGGCATCAATCCTCCGTCGACACCACTCATGAGTGCCGAATTGGTAGCCAATACCCAAGGAGTGAACGGGCTGTCGAGACAAGGATGAAGAAGGATGAAGGAGGGGAGGGGTGTTGGATTGTGAGGGAGGTAGAGGAGTGTATTCAGCAGTGCCATGATCAAGATACGGCACTCCTCGTCAGAAGAGGTAGGTATTCGACAAGAAGGGTGTAGACAGGTAGACTTACAATGACAAGCAGGGATACACAGAAGTCGGTTGGTAAGAGTACCAACAAAAAGAATAAGCCTGCCTCCTAGCGCTGCGTTTGATCTGAGGGACCGGGCGATCTCAGTGTGTTTCCTGAAGATGCTTCGTTGGTGTTGGTTCAACCCTGCCCGCGTGTGGGTCGAGAAGCACGAAACAAATAGGTCGCTGCGATTCTTGGGGGGGGCTGGTGGTGGTTAAGAGACCGGAAGGGTATGCGGAATCCGGCTACCACAACAACCGGGAGCAGAATCTAGAAACGAAATTGATCTTCTCAGCGCCTGAGGAAGATCTCATTGCACAGCCGTCTTGTGCCTCGGGGAGTGGCGGCTGTCAAGGGACAGAGGGAGATTTCGAAATCGATGGGCAGGATCTAACAACTGTGGCTCGAAGCAAAGCTCTTCTCATAGAGATAGATATGTGCAAGCTGCTGTTGTCAGGCGAGGTGAGATGAATACTGCGGGAGGGTAGAGCGCAATTGTTTGTGCTGGTGGTAGATTAATACTGTGCGGCCACTGTCAACAAGGCTGGGGCTGTGTGGGCTGGCGCGAATCCAACATCCGAGCTGCAGGATGGCTATGCGAGCTCAACGATCAATTCGCCAAGTATTCGACGAGAACAGAGAATTCAAGGCGGCACAGTGGTGACAACTTCCTCGTCTGTTGGGCTGCTAGCGGGCAGGGAAAGACTGCACGGCACTCGAAGCAAAGCATAGAGCAGAGGTCGGGCCCAATGGAGGCAGAGAATTCAGACGGCGGCAACTGCCCAAGCCTGACACGGCGCTGCAACAACAAATGGCAGGATAGGCCGAATTCGACGCAGGTGGAGTGCGTGAAGGGGGAAAGACCCAAGGCGCGGAATGGTGCCAGGGAAAGTCCTTTACAGTTTGACGGGCCGCGTTACAGAGGGTGTCTCAATGCCGCCCCGGTCCATAAGGAGCAGCTCTCGTGCAGACGGACCAAAGCCGCGCTCTGGGGCGTGTGTGGTTGTGGGTGTTGGGGCCCTCGTCTTGTCTCGCAGCGGATGAGATTGCCTGGGGACGACCCGTCCAGGCAAGGCCGCTGCCGCTGTAGGGCGAGGGCGTGCTGGGGGCTGCATGTGCGTGCCCGCCATCTGTCGTATCCACCGTCAATCCATGCATTGGTGTGGGATGGGGCGCTGGGCTGCGACTGCCAACGAGAATGAGGGCGAGACGCTTTGAGGCAAGAGGCAATTAGGCAGGTACTACGTTGGCGCGTCGATGAGAATTGCAATAGGTAAACTATGCACCTCTCCTGATTGAACAATGGGCCCGCACCAAAAAACAATTGCCCAAACTTCGTACCTACATACCTACATTCAGTCCAAAGTACCGTCCTTACCGCCACAGCCACCTCGCGGGAAAATATACCGGCCGCTGGGCAGTGCCAAAGGGCCTGGCTAAGGTATCCGCTGGCCCCAGCAGGAGATCCGGCCAGGCGAGTGTCACATTCCCCGGCGCCTAGTCGAGCCTCCAGCACTACCTACCTTACTTACCCACCTTTGATCACGATGGGGCCAGCCCTTCGAAATGACTGGCTGGTTGCCAGAGTCGGACAGCAATTGGATGTGAGTTATCACTTTCCCAACGAGAACAGAGCCTGCTGCCTAGCTACAAGTAGGCCTGAAGAGAGCATCCATAACGTATTCGGAACTACTAATGCCTTCACCACGATGAATTGATTTGTCCTGACGGAGGGTGGTGGGAGCAGCAGTTTCCGCAGCGCCAACGGGAATCTTATTAGTGGGCATCTATCTTAGGGCCCGTCCCTAGCGACCACGAGCACAAGCGCTCTAACCCCGGCCCTTGAACCGGCAAGCCAAAAGTAGGCACATACGGCATCAGGTCAGGCGCCGCCATTCCTCTCGAGGCCAAGCGCTGACATAGTACCATTCCTGCAGGGCCGGTAATGCTGTTAACATCGTTCTCGCTATTGAGGTACCTTAGCCTCACGGGCCGTTGCCTTCTCCGTTTCCTCTACACAACATTAGGAGCTACAGAGAATTACCCC